ATGTGACTTATTCAAATGCAAGGTATTATGCCTAAGGCTTATACTCCCTTTCAAACGAGAACGATCTGAATGTTACAATTTTTTGTTATCCAAAAGTGTGGACGTGAGTCTTTATCGGTTGCGTAGGCGTTCTCCGTCAGCAGCCTTGAAGTTCAAGGGCAATGGATTATAATAGTACTATGAAAAAATCTGCCAAGTCACACGGTCTTATACTAGTTTGGCCGGCCAGTAAACACGTTACGTTTAAAATGCTATTTCAGTTCTGATGCACCGAAAAAGGATAGATCAAAGGTTTTTATACTGTCAAAGCATGGACATTCGTGGAATTTTTGAGGACGGAACCCAGGAAGAAAGCGTTTGAGTTTGGAACGTGCTATGAAGTGGGTGTTCGACTATGATAACGAACCTGTAGGTTCTGTTATTGTCGGAATATATGGGAAGTAAACGCGACTGTCTTACATCCTGATCGAATGGAGTTGCACCGTAAAAGCTGCTTTTTTTTTTGTAAACATCATGATGACCTGGCAGCTTTCGCCTCCATAACTGTATTGGCCTTTAAATTGCTTCCTAAGTTCACGGTATGTGAGATGTGAACTTGTTAAGGTATTTTACATTAGCTTGTGAAGGATACCGTGCAACTGTTGTAATTTAGAAGTATGTCGGCCAAACTAAACAGTCAAGTTCAACCTAACGGAAAGTTCCAAGACTACTTGGCGTGTTTTGGGTCCCAGTTGTTTGGCGCCGTGTAAAGTTTCGTAAGGGAAGAACAAAGTTATAAGTACTGTTGGGATGCAATAATTGTCACAGTAAAAATATAGAACATATAACGTTATTTGGCTACAAACTTTTATTGTTGTCGTGAGATGTAGCGGCGTAAGTTTTCGCTGAGAAGAAGGAACCAAATAACGTTTTTTGACCGTAAACTTTGATCATTATTTTGAGATAAAGAGGCGTAACTTTTTATCAGAAATTACTGAAGTCATGCAACATTTTTTTGGCTATAAACTTTTATTATCGTTTTTAAATGAAGTAGTGTAAGCTTTTCTCCGAAATTAAAGAGTCAGGCTCCGCGAAGTCATAATTGAGCATGTTTCGTTCTCCAGCATCATCGAAAGAGACGTGACTGACTAATGTTTCAATATTGTAAGGTCTTAGCAAGTTCAATTTTTTTTTATACTTTGGGTTGATGGATACGCTATGACTCCTTTGGCATCATCAAAAACTGATAACAAATGTGTGTAATGATTTTTTGTACAAACAATTTTTCATTGACGAGGCGTTTGACGCGTTCACGTCGAAACCGCCCCTAACAAACATGGCGGGACACGTATGGTGTTTGCTTTGTCTCGCGCGGGAGACAATGTATTTTGTCTAGGTTTGCGGAGGTGTTTTATTTATATAAACCACGGACAGGCTATCTAGGGACGTTTTAATTTGAACGTAACCTGTCATTGACACCAATTTGCTCTTCTAAGTGATGGTATCTGGATGCTTTTGTATACTGACGGTATTCTGGAACGTGGGAGTTAATTTTTACGGTGATCCTTGAAAGCTTAATAAGTTGACCGTGATGTGAACAACTGTAAAAACTTCTAAAAATACCGTTATTGTGTCTTGTTAGTAAATAAACTCGGTATGCTTATCACCTGCTCCTTTCTCATAAAGTATTGTTGTTCGTATGTCATGGGATGCGAAAAATCAGCTCAGTAATATTTTCGTGATCATCTTCGACGTTTTCTCTCTAGGTTAGATTCGAACTTTGGCGCAGTTAAAGTCGGAAAGGAGAACAAAAAGAAAAAAAAACCAAAACTAGACTAGTTTCAAGCATTTGTCTATGGTTATCAAATGAATAGCCTACAGCAGCACGCCACATGGTTCAACAAAAAAGGCTGAACTGATAGTTGGCATTATCATGGGTGTCTGCTACAGTGATTGAGAGTACAGTTTTCCGCTTATTTCATTCGCATCTTTCTGGCAAGTTCTCCTGCAACAATAACATCTAATCGAAGTATGAATTCCTGCTTTTACTCGTTTAGTCAAGATGATTTTTCCGCTTAGAGAAGAACTGTTGGTACCGGGATCTGAGAGGTTCAATCTTGATAATGGACATGGGGACCATTTTCAGAATAATCGAGCCGGATTTAGAGTACTTTTTTATCCTTTACAGTAGTCAAGCTTGGTTCCCTGATTACTACTTAAAGACCTTGAAGAAATCCTCCATTTTCGTAATTGCATGCTGTTAAAGAATTGATTCATCAATGATTTCGTGTGACATTCAGGTTGACCCTTTTGAATACAATTCGTGCCTGTATGCTCACGTGGATTAAAAAAAAAAACTGTTTGAACTTTGTTTTTCAAACATGCTAATTGTATCTCTCTGTAAGCCAAATTCGTGAAAGTATTTCGAAGTAAAATCACCATACTGAATTGGGTATGAAGTTGTCATCATTGAGATAATTTTAACTCAGACAGATTGCAAGTATGCCTGAACTTTAGGTGTTACTTCAGATTCTAGGAAAGATCTCTGATTTCACAACGTGTAGCACAGGTTTTGATCTTTTATTGCCAATGAAAGATAGGAATTGTGATGTAGTCTCAGCGCTATAAGTAAAAGAGTCATCTTGTTTGGACCCTATAGTTTTCATGACGGGAGACTCTTTTCATCGTCAATAATACACCTATTTCTCCCTCTTGCCAATGTTTAAACTTCCATCTAAAAATACTCACCACGTCACCTAAAATTAACTCAGTCTGCTTGTTGCGAAACAGGACAGGAATGCTTCTATTTAAACGTTTAGTCTGCTGAATGGAAGATTAAAGCTTAGAAAAATCAAAAGAGTTGAGCAAATTAAAGACAATGTGCATAAATACATGATTTTATTGGAAAGGAAGTCACTAGAACTCAAGAGCGAAATTAATTGCTCCTTTGGTACCTTGCCAATTTCGTTTTTCCTCAGAGCTGAAACGGAAAAAAAGACCTTGACGAAACGTCCGCTTAGCAAAATGAACAATATTTATCGTAGGACGAACTCGGAGAATCAGCACTGAAACCTCCTCCAACGAACGGCTTATGGGCTTAATGAGTTTCTCTTTCTACTTAAAACGAAAGAGATATAATTTACTTCAAATTATTGACCACATTTGCCCCTATTTTTTGTAACCAGATACAAATTACGCGCATGTTTTTGTGGCTAAAATAACAACTCTTGATAAGTCGTCCAAGCACACCGACCTACTTTTAGCAAAGAATGTGCGCTATTCGGTCGAGATGCGCCAGGAATCCTTCGTAGAGATATAAAAATTTTAATTCGACGCCTTTTATTCTCAAAGATAGCGTAGGCGCTTAAAGATAATTGACATTTCTCAATAGGGTGAGGCGATTTTTTTGTCAAGGCGGCCAGCGACACTTTGTCTATCGTGTCAATAGCGGGTTGTTTACGGACTTCATGGGCACGTACGCTGTTTTAGCGCAAACACGATTCTGTCACAACAGACGGTCTTGGTGGGTGGAGAGGGTATCTTAGGTCAGAGTCGACAAAAGCGAGCATAAAATCTCCGTTCTCCTGTTATTGTCCTTTGTCTTCCTTGTTATAATATTTTGGTACCCATCAGGACTTCCCGTGCGCTATTCTAAGGGTATAGTTGTTGTTTTTATCAAAGTGCGCATTTTTTTTCTTGCGACAAAGACCTCACTAACCCCTCCACGCTAACCAAAAGGATTTATTTGTGTATATCTTTTAATTGGCGGTTAGTTTTGTACTTAAAATCTCCCGCAAAATCATAAGCTGCTTTGTATCCCTCTTTCAGTCACCAGGTAATGCAATTTAGAAGCTTTGCAGTGAATTCAATCAGACGCAGCCAGGCTCATTGGTCGTTTATGGATATTTTGGTCCCGTGTTGAAAAGTTACACGCGAAAGGACACGTAGCAGTCAAAGGGTCAGCAGTGTTTTACTATCACGAAAATCCACATTGGGTAAAAGTCACAGAATTTGCCTGTGAATTACCAACATAAGTCATTCTTTCCCGGAAAAAGTCTCTCTGGAAACAAAACAATTGTTAAAGGAAAAACCTAAAGTGATCCATTGAGGCGAGTGCGTCAAATAACAGCTATTACATAAGCACGTTAATTTAGATGCGCAATCGTATTAAAATCCTTGTCGAACACTTCCAAACATACCACACACTCTTGAAAGTTCATGAACTTATAAAAGCCAAGTCACGTTTTCCTATCGCGATGAAAATCGGTTGTTTTCATTATACTCGTCAGGAATGAGAACAATGACAACTTCAAGATGGTTGCAGGTTAATATTCCGTAGCGCGATTTAATGCTTCCTGGAGAAGGTCAATGCTAGAGTGAAATTCACATTTATTTTTTGTCGTAATTTTGCAGCAGCATCAGTGTTTGATGTTTAATCACCCGCCTTCGGAGATCGTTTGCAAACAATACTTCCGTGCTCCCGTAACGAACAATTTAGCATGGCCTGACGCCCAACTGAGAGACAAGAATAATAGCTTTCTTTGTTGGTTCGGTGTTGCTGGAAGGACAGATTATAGATTTAACACCCTAGATCACGCACGGCTTAAACAAGCTCAAATCAGCTTATTCAACGAAGATAGCCATAGAATTCTCATCGAATTAAAAGTAAACACAGCCTGCATGACTTTCCATGCGTCGTAAAAGCAAAGTGAACAACATTTCATGCCTCGATCACGAAGGACGATATTCCAGAGACTACGACAAAGATTTAACTTTTAACCTGTTATTAAGTAGTGGTTTTGGTTTTTTAAATTATTGGGATTGTTTTGTTGGTTTTCGCAATCATTTAAGTCGATCATCAAATGTTCGTGACTTACAAGTTCCACGTGAATGATTTTATCGCGTGATCAGTAATTTCGAACGAAAACAACTTCCGTTTAAAGTTGAAACCAACAATATCACCTCGCTTTTACTTATTTAACCACTAAGGGTGTTTTTATACAAGATTCTGTTTCTTTAAATGGTCTCGAACAGTTTTATTTCGATCCACTAAGATTACAAACAAGTGCTTATGCATGTCATTTACAACAACGATCACTACTAAATGTTATGGTTGTCACTTTTTAATCGCAAACTTAATGATGCGAAGTTATTGCGGTGTCTGCGGCCGCCTCGATTAATTGTTGTCACTATTATCAACACTACAATAAGAATCCTACGTCTTAACTGCAATTAATCTTTCTTTCACAAGTACAATAATTGACAAATACCACTACCAATCGAGCATGCTTTTAAAAAAAAATATCATTAGACACTATAGTTTGTTTTTACATTTCAGTACGTGATGAAAAATTGGCGTCAACTCGCCTAATTTATAATTCATTCGAAGCTAAATACGAAATATAGGGACTTAAGTTATTATTAAGTCTTTAATTTTTTAAAAATTTTTACTGTTTGTTTCCTTATCGAGTTCGTTAACGGCTTAAATTTCAACGCAAATATGTAAACAGTAATATGGGGTGCGTTGCTTTGTCCGTTAATTGAAGTTAAATTTACGTAGTTCCCACGATTCTAGAACAAACGGCCACTAAGCCGTTCCGTGGAACGAACAACAAACAGATCAATTTTGCCAAAAAAAATAAAAGTTTAGGGACAAAAATAACACCAATTTACCGTCAATTAGAAATTGGTTGTGGGGTTATACGAATTTCACCTATAAATGTCATAATAATATTAATAATAATGGTAATAAAACAAATAATTAAAATAACGATGAGGTACAGCATAAGTAGCATCTAACAATTTAATCATCACTTCACGCGCAGCATGTGAATATTTCTTGAAATCTTATTTCATTTCAAACATATTTTTTCCGGAGGGTTTCAAATAATACATGTATATAAATATCAATACTATATTCTTTAGCTCTCTTTCCATATTATCGTACTCTTCCTCGCTTAGTTAATTATATTTGAATTTCATTATGGATTCTGCCTCAAACGTTTTTCGCATATTTACCGGAGGCAAGTGAGCAATAAATAAATCGGAAGAAAACGAAAAAAATTTGAGAATAATGAATCCGCACCCTAATTTTAAAGACAAGGGCGCGTTGTCAATTTTGTCATGGATGCTTGTGGGCTTATTTAATTCCGTGTTATATGTGGGCTTATTTAATTCCGAGAGTCTAAATGCAATGACTCGCAAATTGAAAAAACACATGGCTAATTTGGTCCAAGATGAGTCAAATTCAACGGCTTAGAATATCGAAATCTATCTTGTAAAACAAACGGGTACTCGACCTCAAAATCTGCCTTAAAAATTTCTAGATTTCCTTTCATCTTGGCGTAGGTTAAGTTAAAATTTAAATACCAGTGGATGTTTTCTATTCACCTAGAACTATTCCACAAGAGCCTACTCGCTAATACGGTCTCCACACTCCCTTAGGTGTTGTGGTACCGTTCCGTTCGTGAAGGACCGTGTCCGCGTGTGAAACCTCAAGTCCTGCGTGGTGATTTACAACGTGATTTGACATATTATCAATAGGCTCCTGCTTCAGGGAGATTATTCCGTGCCCGTCGCTTCTAGGCAGACCGTTAAAGGTGCCCACGCTGTTCAAATCCACGTTTCCAAGAGGTAGCGGTATCCGCTGTGTAACAGCGGGGCTTCCTACCCCCATGCTTTGTCCCACAAGGGGCATCACACCGGGTCTCGACAGGGGGAATGTCACCCCCGCAGTAGTGTTCGCTGTAGTTTGAGTTATTGGCATGTTTACCTTGGTCATCGCTGTTTGTTGCATGAATGGTTGTGGACGAAAGGTGTATCCATTGTTCACCATGCCATTGGGCAAACTATTGTTGTTCAACATAGAGTTGTTAACAACGGAATTCGTTCCGGGAGACGTGTTTAGCTGTTGGCATTGTGAAGAGAACATGCTGTGAGCAGGATCTATGGGCGGTGCCGGGCACACTTGATTCATTCCACCGCCAATACCGTCGGACACTGTTGTCAGGGTCGTGTTCGTTGTAGCTTGCGGCGATGAACGAAATGGAAACTGCGCTATGCCCTGAAATCTTGGTTCAGAGTAGTGAGGAAGCATGGGCACACTACCACTTGAATTCTGCAAGTTCACTTGAGGTCTTGGCGCTGACAGTGGGTTTAATGCTGTTAAGTTTACTTGAGCATCTGGTGGAGCGTGAGGCGGCAAATTCGGCCCTAAAAATCCCGGAAAGCCGGCGTGGAAACCCCATGTGGACGGTGAACGGATTTGATTGCTATCTGTAAATAAAAGAAACAAAAACATATTGAATTTTTTTGAATGACATAAAGAACACCCTACAGTTTTATAATGGTACTAAAGAGTGCTTCCAGAGGTTATTTTGATAACGAAATGTGGAAGTAACTCTTGGGAATTAGCAAAGAGCTAATTCCTCTCTTTGCCCATTACATCCAACAACTATCCACGCGCACTCGAATAAAAACACTGAAACGTAGATCTTTTTCCGGCTTTAAAAGAGATAGAATCTGTTGTTATAGCATCTTTAGATAAGAATACTCCAAGTTCATCGATATCGAGCTTTCCTATAATCATTGAATCTAGTGGATAAAAACCACATAATCAGAGGTGACCAAAAACAATTAGTTTGCTAAGTCAACTCCAATTAAATGTAACAAAATTGGTTTACCGCACGTTGTCGAGGGCACTCAGATCACTCTTAAGTTTTGAAACTACATTTTCGACGTAGAAAGAAAATACGACAGAAAAAAAAAAAAAAGAAAAAAAACGCTGAAAAGCTTTTCTTGGAAGTGCAAGATACTCATTCAAGATTGTCGGCCGGCGCCCTTTCCCATTTCCGATTCATTGTGGCACTGTTTGAATTCTAGAACATTTTGAATTACAAAAGCCACATTTGGTTTTGTAAATCTTTGATTTAGGTCACCTTTAATATTTTTAGGACACCACTGTAGCTTCATTGTCTAAGATGAAGACTTTAATGCAGCCTCATATGACGACTGAAAGGGGAACATTCTTGACCTTGATTCAAAGATCACTTTGATGGAAATGTTTTTCGAACGAAAGAGTCCATCGCGACAGTTTTGATGGCAAACGAAGTCCTTGAAGTAAATCTTGACCGAGTGTCCGATTTTGTACATTGTTCACTTGATGATACTTTTATTTCGAAGGTTCTAAGATTTACCCGAGCTACAGCCTTAAAAATCCCGCTTTCACATATGATTATTGAGACTTTGGCAACAATGCCTTCGTTCTTCTCAGCCATTGTATCACTAGTCCACTGGAAGGCTGTAGTAGAAAGTGTTAGTTTAATTATTGGTTTCCTTACGGAGAGTGGAGACCGTATTGGTTTCCTCCGATATCGGACACAGTGGAAAGGTGTGAGCTTGTGGAGAGTTTTTCGTTGTCTAGACGGGAAAAAAGGGCGTTAATGTTTCCGTCTTTTACGCGCTGCAATGAGGTAATTCAGCCGACGACAAGTAAGAGTTTCGACCATTTTTTAAAACAAGTCTCATGACAAAACCTAGATTGTTCGGTGAACAATTTTAGAGCAGTTTCTCGGTGAAGATTGCTTTGTTTTTCAAACGAAAGTAAACATTATCAACCTTTTCATCATCCCTATAAGAAACGAAAGTTGGAGAAAAAAAACGAAATTGTGGCTTCGTCTCGCGATTTCAACTGAACAAAAACAGTGCTTTGTTTATGATGAAGCGGTTCCGGAAACCAGATTTTGAATGTTCCACGACTTATCATTTCCTCCACCCTTTCGCAACATTCCCCTAAAGCTGCTAACAGACAAAGGAAACAAAATCTCCAAAAATGGCCATTTCTTTTTAAGTTACTTACAAAGTAAATTAAGATTTTAACACATAGCTCTTCTTACCAGGAGCGAGCGCGCTGAACGCTGAGGTTGCATCTGGGGGTAATTTTACGGGTTGTAAAGGGCCTGGATGAAGTTCTGTAAACGGGCCAAAGTTGTTGTCTCTTATGGAGCGACGGAGGCCCTCGAATCCCAGCTCTGAGAGACGATCTGAAAAATGAAATTGGTCGTATCCTGCTTGGTCTCTCTCGTCTGAACGCGTTCTGTGTCCTGTCAAAGAAAAATGAATTTCCTGTCATGAGAGCAACTTGACGCCGGCCCTAGTTGTTGTAGCTTTGGATGCGTGTAAAAAGCTTTCATTTGGGAAGTATGCCAAGAGGCATATTTCTATTCACAGAAGTCGTAATAAATCGTATCAAGGATTCCCACGTGTTAAAATTCGTCAGTCACGACACGGTACAGAATTGAGACTAGCATTAGAATTGCTATTAAATTCGCGTCGAGTGCCATCTTGTGTTTGCAACCGTTAGCAAGCAAATTGAGGGAGGTTTAACTGGAAAGAACGAACTGTATTCGAAATATGCGGACGATTTCACACTAAAGACTAGAACCGGCGCTCGTTTGATCAATACGGATTGCGATTTTTCCTCTCCACGAAGGAAGTACTGGAAAAAAAGAGAATTAAGTTGCTTTTATTGACTCATTAACTATCCTTGTAATAGAACTTGAATATTACCACGACTCTGAATCCCTAACATTGTTTCATATAGTAGAGAGGATATAAAGTCTTTAGAAGATTTGAAACAAGCTAAGTTTTCAAAGTACGGTTATTTATAGCTTTTAGAAGAGAAAGGGGTGATCAGAAGAACTTATACGGAAACATATCATTTGTGAAAAGCTGCAGGCAAATGCGCCGTGTATAAGACACGCTGAAGAGCTGAAAAATTTGTCGAGATTGAACATTTGAAATTAAGGAACGTTTGCAAAGCACTGGATATTGCTCGCTTAACTGAGATTTTTTTAAATTTCAAATCAGTCGCGATCGACAATTCCTTTTTGACATGAAATGCTTAGTTAAACATCAGAGTAAAAATACAGTAGCAATAGCAATGTAGGAGGGAAGGGCACAACCGCACTTGGAGGTCTGAAGAGCCCTTTTTTTTTTCATCAATTTCGATAACATTACGCCTTGGTAGCAGCGTGATTCTCTCTTGGAAAAATCCACAAGTTCGTTTCTCTCCAAGTGTGAACAGTTGGATGCTAAAAGAATTATCAACAAGCCAAGCTCGGGGGAATCTTTGTACGACAATTAATTACATTAAAACTGCGGTATCGGAGACCCCAATTTAGCTGAGAATCAACTAGCTTAGAATTATAACATCGCATGAGGTAACCAGCGGCGGAAGATCTGTATAATCGTCTTTGCGAATAATTCAAGCTCGATCTTGTTAATTCGCATGGCTTCTAACTGTCAGAAGAAGCTAGAATACTTTTTAAGCATCGATTTACATTACGAAATATCAGAATTAAATGTTCAAATCTTCTATCAACTATCATTATCATTTGCTTTCAAATCAGTGTTTGAATTGTCCTGCTTTAAAAGGTCCGACAAGCTGCTCATTGAGTCGTATTATTTTGATATTTTTCCAACTATTCCTTTACGAATTTAGAGTAAATGATTGATACTACGTACATCAGAGACCTTAAATCCTTTTATTTTATGTTATTCACCGAGTTTTGCCGAGACTAAAATGGTTTCTCGACATTTTGTGGATTTTCCGATTCGAAAACATTACATAATATCACACAAACCTATGGCCAATTATTCTATTGAAGGCCATTTAACAAGTGTACCAAATGATTTTGTGCCAAAGACGATGGATTAAATAAGTAAGATAAGAGAAAGAGAAATTCTGGTTTAGAAAGGTCGTGCTTTGAGGCCAATCCTTTATCGATGTGTACCCATGCTTGCTTCAGATGTTAATGAGCAATAAAAAATTATGTGAGTGCAAATGAAGAAAAGGTGCACGTTCATTATTTGGGAAAAATTTTGAGGCCTTTGTAAACAAGGATAAAACTTGAGACGAGAATTACTTGATGTTGGGATTCTTTGCAAAATTGAGTGGTTTTAAAATCTTAGTGAATTAGTACAAAATTTGAGGTTACTTTTGAGATGTGTTCCCTGCCAAAATGTATTGCTTGGTGAGGTAGGTTCATTGCTTGGGAAACAGAATTCATGAATTTTTTTAAATAGAGATTCATAAAAGAATTCTCAAAACTTGATCTTTCTGACAGAATAATTGCTATTTTGTGGTTTGAGGGTGAACTTCTATGATGGTGAGGCAAAATTGGGACTCCAAAAGGTTCAATACAGTGACTATATATGTGGTTTTTACCAAACAAACTCCTTATATTTCACTTAAACCTTACCAGAAGAAACCACATTGAGGCCAGTTTTGGCGAGCAACTTCAATATGTTTGGAAAAAATTGATGTAATAAGATTTGCCAGAAAAAATTATTTAATGACTTGATTTATTTTAAAGAGGATTTACTCCTTTTTTAAACTAAAGAAATTCCCTTTCTTTTTGGATATGAATATTTTTTTTCTTAAAAGACATATTGAATTCCCAGAACATCTGGCTTTTAATTGAAATATTTTTGTCCAAAGGTGCTTCTGTGTTTGTCATAAAATATTAAAATGACACAGTACCCAACGCTGACAAGAATCTTCATTATCAATAATGAATCTGTCATTTTCTAGTAGGCTTATATCCATAGCTATGGTCTAGCTTCAAATTACTTCTTTTGTTTATCACGAACCAAAACCATGAATTTTGATTTTTGGACATCTATATGATTTTGGTGGTTTCAAGTTGAAAGTTTCATTTTGACCTTGCCACCATAAAATATAGATTTTGTTGATGCTTGTGGGGTTTTAGGAAAATTTACGAAAAAATCTGGACAAGTTTTCGAAAGAAATTTTAATTGACTGGTGAAGAGCTGACGGTGACAAGAAGGGATTTTGGTTTTGAATGAAATTATGTCCTATTTTTTTTTTCGAACTACCAATAATGACAATTAAAAGCAGATCAACTAAAAATCCCATTTTGAGGCCTAGCCAAGAAATGTAGTATTATTGCCTTTCACCCAGTAAAAAAATCAGAAATAAATACACAGAAGGAGTAAATCAATTACTGTCCTAATTCAATTAAAAAGGAAAACCAAAAAGTAAAATTGAACTTTCTTCATAGGGCAGGATCAGATAAAACTCAAAACTAAAAACTAATTAGTCAATTTTGCCTTCACCATATGCTTCTTTCCAGAAATTAAAAATAAACCCAATTTATTTGAGTACATAATTCTGTTTGCTGAAACCCTTAGCTGAACTGCACCAAAAGTACACTTGATTGTTTGCTTTCAATTTCTAGTCTTGCCTTGCTCTTTGTCTTAAAGACATCCAATTTTAGGAGTATGTTTTATCTGATTTATTAGCCTGATTAAGAATAAAGAGAAATGCTATTAAATTAACAAATGCATTTCTAAAAGCCTTATGAAGACAGGTGAAATGGCATTACAACCTTTCTGCCACCTGCCCTGCCACCTGCATCTGCATTGTATGGATTCTTCAAAACATACGATAATAAATTCAATTAACGCAGCAACCAATGGGTTGCGCCCGTTTTATGAATCATTAATTGCAAATTAAACATTAATCATGTTCCCGCGTATCGCTTGAATCACTTGTCCCCGCTACGCGTGGCTTCGGTATAGAATGAGACAACGGGATAGCTGTATTTATCTAAACACAGCGTATGTTTATTTGCGGTAAGGCGGCCAGCATTCATGAATCTAAACAACATAGCAGCACCCGTTTCAAAATGAACCCGCAAATTTTTTATCTGTTTTAGGTTTCAACAGTATCGACAAAGTCAGGCCACTGCGGCAAAAACACTACAGACTTGTATGTTTCGGAATGGCCTTGTTGTGGCCGCGAATACCTCCAGATATTAAAAGCTACAAGGAATTAGGAATTTGCCCATCGGAGAAGATGCTTATCTCTGATTGTACATTAATTTTCAAAATCAAATCAACGTCGGAATCAGAGTTTTAAATTCTTTGAAAAGACACGAACTTTTTTCCTCTTTACTTAAAATATTTTTTTTTAATCCAAAAATTTCAACGAGGAATAAAAAGTAAAAATCAAAGGAACAAATAATAAAATATGGAGACATCGGGCTTATTAAAAAATTCTAAACCTTCTGGGTTACGATGAGCTCAGGTGAACCACAAATACGTTTGTCAAACAACCCAAAAATGAGGAAAGATTTTGTGAAGACTTACTACGCGGTTCCCGCGGTCCGTCTACGGTGACTTTAATAGCTCTGCAATATGTGGCGACTTGAGGTGGATCTGTCTTCACCGTTATTGTCAACGTGAACGTTTTACCTAAGCACAGGTGGAAAAAAGCATAAAAAATAAAATATACTGGATGTAAACAAACCGGGCAAAAAATATTCAACTTACAACATGCTAAACCCATTCAAGCCTTCACAAACAGACATTTGAAATTGACAACCTATGTGCAAGTCCCATCTAACATGACATGTTTTCATGAGTGCATGTCGTTTTCCAGATGGCTGATTCCATACCGAATGCAGTAAGTGATTCAGTCTTTACAATACGCATCAAAGCGAACTAGTAGCACGTATCTCACCTCTTCCGCTACGTCCTACGAATCTTAGATCGTTGAAGCGCGCGACTTGATTTTTCATGACGGCAGTCGCGTTTCGGAGTTCGGCCGAAAAGTTCTCGTCATTGCCTGCAGCGATCGAGACGAGAACTCCATCGGGAATATCACCGAGTGCAACAACCTTGAATGCAACCGGTAGCGTCTTATTACATCTCCAGTGTGATGGCAACACGCTACAAACAAAGTTCGGAGAATCAGTTTTTACGAGCTCTCCTGGGTATTCAGCCAGTGCTTCAATGAGCGATCGTTCGCCTCTAATTTTACGTGGTACCGCATTTTCTGTGCCAGTGGTCATGGTTCTCCAATGTGTAAACCACAAGAGTGAGCCACCAGAATATGTGTGGCGAGTTTGGCACACTACCGGACGGTTGAATCAACTGAAATGCTTCTGGCCAACCACTCCCCTGAGATTTGACATCTGCTGAGCCTACTTGTTTTGCGTTTTTGTGATGTACAACAGATGAGCCAATCGCGGCAGGCGACTTAACTAGCTCACACGCCCACCGCTGGCATTTATCCAATGAGCTCACGTACTCCGCATTCCGATGAATTCTCTCTTGATTTCTCGAGCGTTCCTGTGGTTTAATGTCTTCACGAGAATCATTGTTTGATGACATTGAAGAACTGAACTGCGGCGAACCTTCGCCAATTAGCGGACTTGTTGAAACACGTGGGAACTGCAAACGGGGATTTTTGTCCCATCTATATTGTCTCAGCGATCAGTCGTAAACGGCCGTGTGTTTAGTGTAAATTCATGCCTAGGTGTGTAAAATCGCTCAATGTCAATGACTCCTTATGCGTAATCACGAGTTTCCCTTAGGCGAAAATTTTCTCCCACTCGACGGAAAGAAGAGAGATGACTAATATCAAAAAATAATGAAAATAATTTCGAAAACACTTGAACTGTGAGTCATTCACGAAAGGAAATATCAAAGCCTCGGAAAATTTACAAATCGCCTATTCCATCGTGTTTACCCAGGAAGACTTAATTCCGGTTGTAATCCGAGATATTTTGTCATCATCAATCGATTTATCGACATGTCGATGCCTGTTTCAGCCGTGAAATCTACATCCCTCTTATCGTGGAGCCTCTTTGTTGATTCGCTGTCAAGTTTCGCGCGCTTTTTATTTAGGCATTCTGGGAAAGGAAGGTCATTTCCGGCCAGGGTGGGTAGAGTCGCAGTCAGCACTATTTTGGTCGAAAACTTTGAACTGAATATGACGAAATCTAAATCTAAGGGCAAGAAAAGCGAAAAAGGAAAGGAGACAAATAATTCCGCCAACGCTGGCGACAGCAAAGTGAGTAAACCGTTTGAAGTCGACGTAAGAAATCGATGAAAGCGTTTTGTTTGATAGCCGCCATTTTGTGTGAGATTTTAGGTCTCAAAATCCACTGAAAAATGAATTCAGTTGATAGTATTGTGGGTGGAAAGAAAGTTAAGCTTTTCGTGACAAGTATAGCTTATAATATGATCTTGTGTTGCGTTGTAAGCATTTAATTGAATTTTGAACTCGATGAATGCAACGGTTATTCAAAGAAATAACTGATCGATTTCCGGTTTCAGCCCCCAAGCGCTTGTGACATACGTCCTCCAACTCCGGCTGTTGTGCAAAGTCCGGTGACCCCAAGCTCCAGACCGCCAAAGCCATGGTTTCAGAGCGAAATTCTTAATATGATGTAAGTAAATAGAGACAGAGTCTTTAGGATTGGTTTTGTAATCTTATTTCTGCTATGAATAAGCCAAGTGCCTCAACTCGACGGAAATCCAGTCTGTTCAAACAATGACCTCGCGGCTGAGATAATTGTGTACTAGACGTGTTTTTGTTGAAGTTTAAACCGCTGTAGATTCGATAATGACCTATCTATACAACCGCACGTCGAAAACAATGCTCTCGGTTTACAAACACATCATCGTTGGAGGTCGAACACTTCGCGTGTTTATGATCGCATTAAGAAGTTGATCTTATTCATGGAGTCTCTTTCATATCGGTCGGCATTACTGCTGTGAAAGGACGAGTACGATGCGGTTCGTTTGTCGCATGTTTTTAAATCATGTGCAAAAGGACTGCCGAAAATGTGCCGAATTGTTTGACAGAGGCGCATTACACGGCGGTTTTGTCACGATTTCCTGAGGCCAATTGTATATTTGAATAATAGTTTTTTTCTTGTGTAATGCTCCCAGACGCGATTTTGACAGGTCGATGATAATGAGAAGCCCTTAGGCCAGGAAGTGTAGTGGCCTCGAGAGGGTTACACAATTGACAAAATATTTTTCCCACGAAGAAGCCGCAAAGCGTTTATGACAAGTGTGATTAACACCACAATAATATCGTCGCGGTTTTACTGAGAATAGGGGTTATCGGCATAAGCACCTTTCTACGTGAGAACACAATTGCGTGAGAAAGGTACTGTTTACTAAATCGATGAGCTGGTTCGTGCAATTAAGGCCACGTGTAGAGGGGAACAATTTAACGCGGCTAAAAAATTCCAAGGAGCAATTTCACTCGGCGTCATTGTCCGTTTCCGAGTTTGAATGTTATCTCTTTATCACTCTTGAAGTAGGCCAAGTGCTCCTCCATGTTTCCTATCAACTGTGCTTGGTCGAAGGCTCTCCTGTTTGTTGACAAATGACGCAAATCTTGTGAAACATGTAAATTGAGGTCTATTAGCGAGTAATTTTAACAGCAAGTATATTTTTAGCCCTCTTAATACAATGTTTGCGGATGAACAAAAGCAAATTTGCGGTAAGGTCATTGTTGACCAATTACTCTTTGTTGCTCAGATAACTAAGTGACCTCGCTAATGTTAAAACGTCGGCTTTTGAAAGAATTGAAGTCTGTGTATTTTTAGTCCTTGAAGTGTAGCCTTAAGTTCATACGGTAATAAGTTCATTAGGGTGAAGTTGTAAACGATTGATTGTTAGGACGAATGAACACATGCTCAATATCATGAACATTCAAATGTTGTCCACTAAAGAATGCTTTGTAACAAAAAAAATAAAACTGAATATTTTTAAGAAGAATAACACATAACAGAGAAGATGTGGTCAACTTGCAAATTCTATTCTTAAGAAACCAGTTTTCATGCTTGGCTTATTTTTTAAACAAATCCCAAAAAGGCAATAATTAAGTAGTCCTGCTGTGTTCCACAATCAGCCAAACTTTAAAATGATATGTTTTCAGTAAAAGTCACTTGGAGTTTTGTATGGAGCTGTTGAGGGGTTTGCTGATGACATGACCTTCTGTTTGACATAAAGATGATTATTATTAGATTTTTGTAAAGGTCACTCAGGCTGTTAGAAAACTAACCCAGTTTTCTGTAGCTTATGATGTCTTTATTAAAAAGTTCAGATTCATTTTTAGTAATAACTATTTTAGTGGATAGGCATTCATGTGACCTGAAGGGAACATGCAGTTCTGATTTAAACATTTTTAGTGCTTTAAAATGAGTGTTTGGTCTTTTTAAGGTTTTCCTTAATAAACCATTCTAGTGGTTTGGTGTTAACCATAATTTTCTCAAATTTGAGGTTAACCTTTGTGGTGTTTGCACTTCTGATCATACTACTAATACCTAAATATTTGGTTGTTGTTAATTATTGAACATTTGATAAGGTAAAGCATAGCGTTAATTTTCAAGGCTAAGGCTTGAAATTGATTTTTTTGATTCTTCAAACCAATGCCATGATAATTCTCTCCATGTGAAATCTGATAGTTTTTTTTCCTATGCTTGCCAAAACACTATTATGTGTTGTTGTGGCACCACTCATAAGCATGGAAAGCTCTTATTTGTAGGTATGAAAAAACAAAACGAGTTCTGAGTAGTAGTGGATGTATACTTAAAGCCAATAAGAGTTGGAACCTGTATCCCTATGGGTACTTGAAAACCTTCTGCTACTACCCATTAAAAAACTTCCTAAGGAAGCATTAATTTTTATACTTGTGACGATCAAGTGGAGAGGATTTCCTGTTTTTGTTGTGTTTGTAGTTTGGATGTTGATTTTAAAATTGCTAAGGTACCAAACATGTTAGTTTTTGTTGTACCTGTGGTTTGTGGGTTGATTTCTTCATTGTTGAGGTACCAAACATCTTACCAGTAATTTGCATAGGTCTGATGGTCTCAAACCTGTCTTCTCTCTTTCCAGAAGTCATGAATAAAATATAACTTGTGAGTTCAGCTGTAAATGTTTGAGACAGCCGAGCAAAATAATCTTGAGCATGTGCAAATGATCTTATTAATGGCAGTGAAAAAGTGAGGATGGTAATAGGGTAACCTAATGAAAGAAGGGTGGGAAAGTTGGGCTTAGTCTTTAAAATGTTGCTAACCTTAGAATACCGCCTTTGATGTTAACATGTTGCCATCTAACCCAGGACAAAGATCATGTGTGTTATAGGTGGCCTGGGTCAAACTTTGTTTTTATTTAGATTTGAACTTTATTGCATGGTAGTTAAAGAGAGCTTTACACTAATCAGCTTTCACCTGTAGAAATTGTGAGCTAGTGGGGAATATTCAATTTTAAAGCCTTGTGTTGAAAGTGATAAAAGTCTCTCATTGAAAGTTGATTGAAGTTGGGGAAGCACACTTGTCACAGGAGAAGAGAAACTTGTTTGTTCATGAGTTTGCTCTGAAAAGTCAACATCTATACTGCAAAAAGTATTTGCAGGATAGTAAACACTAGCCTCCATGTAGCATGAAAATTATGCTAATTGGTATATTTTTACTTGGAGATAATCTTTATCTTGAGCTTGACACTCAGAACAGATGATGTTTGTGGACAAATATGCCACCAGATGAAAGCTGTTGTTTAGGTATATATGTTTACCAAACCTTTCCTTAGTATTTATTATTAAAATAAGTTTGTGACTCACCAGATTACCTTCACACTAGGTGCAATGCAATCAAAGGAGTGTCACATCTATTAGAGAGAGAGTGATATGCCTGAGACCTGAGTAGGTTTCATCATCTATCGGGCATTTTTCGGAGTAAATACCTTAAATTATCTTACTCTGTTAATTGTTACTGGGTGTTAGTAGAATTTATTGCTAATGAATATGTGCCAAATGGTATTTTGGCTTTTACATTTCCCTTATGTTGCTCTATCAGTTTACAAAATCTAATGTAAGGTATGTCAGTTAGGTTAGAAGGAATTTGGATACAATACAACTTGAATATCACTTATAATGAAGGAAATTTACATTTTTCACAGTATCACAATGTGAAGTATTTCCGTGTGTCAACTATCGAGGTTAAATATTGTTGCTGGAGTTTGAAGGTGGTACACAGACCAGCTACAAAATAATGACAGTTTTTGTCATAATTCTTATCAGTAGTGACTTTTGTTTTGGATGGATATTGACGTATGTATTTTACCTTGATGAACTTACATACGTACGTATGTCTGTGCATACACTATTTTTAGAGCTTTTTGACTTCTTTCTTTAGTTGCCCTTTCAATAGCATATTGAACGTTTGTCACCATATATATTGCATTAAAGTCTGTTTGATTGAGATACCATAGGCACTTCTTTAATCCACTTTGTTTGCTACATTGTATTTGTATTGCCATTAGGTTGCCATTAAAGAAACCATTGAGTGCATGTATCAATATGTTATGCAATAAGAGGCTCTCGGGTCTCTGGCATATTTTCACCTTGATGTGGATTCTATTGAAAATGTTGAGGAGGTACTTGAACTACACTAGCTGATGTGCCGCCTAGCTCTTGAATAGGTTAAAAGTGAATTTTGTGTATTAGTATATAATTATGTTGAAAGAGATAAAGGAAGGAGGGGCTGAAATTTTTTTTTTTCTCAGTTAGAATAGTTCCTTGATGATTTTTGATCAGTGGTTGTAATTTAACGCGGGACTGCAGTAAAGGGAAACTTACAAATTTTAAATCACATTTTGTGATGATCCTTTCAATTAGCTATTAATATCTTTTACTGACAAGTGTTGTTACTGTAACAATTACAGATGATAAAGGAGTGATATTAAAGATGAACTCTTGCAAAATCAATTTCCTGTATTTCTCTCAATAATATTGTGACTCAATATTGTTACAACAAGTAAGTTCATCAAGGTAAAATTTGTGTAAAAAAAAAAACTCTCTAAGTATGCCACATCATGACAAGGTTTTTTCAAATCAGTGATGTTAAAAAAAGGGTGAATATTTTTTGAGTATTGTAGGCATGTGACAGCTTGAATTGTTTTTATCTTTGGTTCAGTTACTGGTATTCTTTTTTCTTATGGTTTTGTGCATGATAATTATGTATAGCTCTTATATTTTTAATGAAATTTAGTGCAAGCCATAGAGTTAACAAATTGGTAATCAATAGTGTTTCTTCTTGTATAATATACTGTCATTTATTACAATAGCCCAGTTTATCTGTGGTTGTGACTGCATGATTCTCCTCACCTCAGTGACCATGGCTAGAATCTATTGCTATTCTAATCTTGTGGTTATTTAAGTGCCTTTGAATGAAGTGTG